AAGTGGAAGCAATAGTGAAACCGCTGGGATGTCTGGTACATGAATTGCAAGACTGGAAGGTAATTCAGTAGGCTAGAGTTCAGAATGAACAGTTAGGGCTGGATAGAGATAAGATCTAGATAAGATCTAGAGGTAAGTAGGAATCAGACTATGCGGGCCATCTATGCCATACTCTTTACATCCTATGTGAGGAGCTAGAAAGTGGTTTTATGATTTAAACAAGGAGATGATAAATTCAGATTATCTTTTTGTAAAACTCACTCTGATGATAGTGAATAGATTCAAAGATAGACTTTTTTTTTTTTTTAAGGAATGTTATATTCTCGTAATCCCATATTCTCTTTGTTGTTGTTTTCCAACCTCTCTCTCCCTACACACATGGAAGACTGTGAGTCTACTCATTCCCTAAGTGCAGGTGCCAGCCTTGGCAATGTGGCTAATCAGAATAACAGTGACGCACATGTGAGATAATGGTGGAAGAAAATGGTCAGATATGTAATCAAAGATTTAGCCAGAATTGATGGGAGAAAAAGAAGAGTCAGAAACAATTGTTCTGGCTCTGAGAATGGAGATAAATGAGGGGGCCATTCACTGAGAATGCAAAGGAAAAAAAAAAGAAGAAAAAATGGATTTGGGGGGACGTAGTAAATTATGTTTTGGAGATGCTGAGTTTGAGATGATTATGGGATGTACTGCTGGACTTCAGGCTATGTGGGTCTAAAGGTCAGAAGAGAGATCCAAGGTGGAGATGAAGATTTTTAAATCATCAAATTGTAATTTTTCACTGAAGCAATGTTAGTGGACAAGATGAGTAAAGGAGAGAAGGTAGAATGATAACAAAAGAAATTCAAGGATGGAACCCTAAGGTCCCATCAATATATTAGACATCAGTGGAAGAAGTGGAACCTATTAAAAGGACAGCTGGAGGCATAGTGGTTAAGATGGCTGGATCCCACACGGCCAACTGGTCTGAAAACCACGCCAGGTGCATGTGCATGTGTGCCCAAAATCCTGAGAAGAGAGTGTAGAACAAGGGATTGTTGCATGGTCATCTTCCTTGGGAGGTACTTTCTCACTTTCCCTCTCCCTCTCTCTCTCTCTATCCAGAAAACACCCAGATCCTATAGCAAAAATTCAAAAAGTAAAAAACAAAAGAATTACTGGAGAGGTAGGAGAAAAATTAGGAGCTTGTGGTACTGAGACAGCTTTATAAAGCAAGACATAGTCGACAATGTCAAAGACATAGTCAACAATGTCAAATACTGAAAGATAAGGAATGAGTGATATCCATGGGATTTCATGTCAAAGCCATTGGTGACCACAGTAGAAACATTAGAATAAAGTGACCATTTCAGAAGTCTTTCTTTTTTCTTTTCCTTTTCCTTTTCCTTTCCCTTTCCTCCTTCCTTCCTTCCTTCCTTCCTTCCTTCCTTCCTTCCTTCCTTTTGTTCTTTCTTTCTTTCTCTTTCTTTTTGTTGTATTTTGTCTGAGGGCATGTGTGCTTATTGGAGATAGAGAAGAAAGGTGAGAAAACACCTTCCATGGGGGATGGCCACACTGCAGTCACCTCTCCACTATTTCTTCCTCCCCCGGGATCTTGAGCACACACACACATGCACCCAGTGTGTTTTCCAAGCCACCAGGTTTGGGACTAGAACTGCGATGTCAGCCATGTGGAATCCTGCTGCCCCAACCACCACACCGTGGACTGGCCCACAGAAGCCTTTTTATATATAGGAAAATGTATTTCATATTTCAGAGGATGAACAATTTCCTGTAATGCAAGATCCAGTGTGTAACCATGGGAATTAGTGGCTCAGGTGGGTTCAGGAAGTGGATCATTTGAGCTGAGAAGGTTGACTAGACTTGTGCTCGTGGGCATTGATGTTTTGGAGGCAATAGCTGTGATCCAGGTGCCCAAGTGTTTAGTGGTTGATAGAAAGTGATCAGGAGCTTGTCAGATGACAGTGAATGAGGGATAGAGGATGATACCACTACACGGCATGAAAACCAAAGGGATAGGAGTCTTTACTTAAGGGTGGAGAAGCAAAGGCTTTGAAGTGGTATTGGGTAGCAGAAAGGCAGCTTACCTCACCTTTTAGAGTGAGGAGGTGATAAGAAAAACTAACATTCATTTGAGAATAGTATAGGAAAGCAGTGAATACATAGTCTTATGTATGTATGTATATATGTATTATAGAGAGATTTTTCACTGTAGGGCACATGTGCTCCCTAGGGAGACAAAGAGATAGAAAGCGAAAAATCACCCCTGGGGGAATGACCATGCCACAGTCTTTTCTCCTCCATTCTTCTCTTGGGATTTTGGGCATGCAGGCACATGCTCCCACTATGAGTTTCAAGCTGCCAGGTCTGGGATTCAAACTGCTGTCAACTACGTGGGAGTCCAGTGACGTAACCATTATGCCATCTGCTGGTTGCACACAATATTATTTAAGGATGAGATTCAAAAGGAAATTCATCAAAGGTTAACTTTTAGGACTTTTAAACCAGAATTTAGTAGTGGAGAGTGAACAGAGGTTTGGGAGAGAAAAGAGCAGTGGATACTGGGTTAAGTGAGAGCAAGCACAGAGTACCGTGGAAATGAGCTTATGGGGAAAAAAGCAATAGCCAGAGGCTTTGAGAAGTGACCAAGAAAGACAGGAGGGAATCCCAGTGAGGCTGGCCTGTTTCAGATTCTAGCAGAGTTTATCCTAGAGATCCCTGGTGGATGGAAGGACTCAAGTTTCCCTGCCAGGAGCTCGCTGACTGATCTGACTGTGGCTTTGAAGCACTCCCAGCTCAGATGGCACTGGCCCAACAGTACGATTTTTGTTCCCCAAAGCCTTACTGTGGTCAGAAACAGGTCTAACATCTGGGATATAGGAATCTTTTTTGGAAAGAGTCATCCAGGATCTGGCTTGATGTTGACTGACGAGACACCTTTGGCTTTGGTTATATTACGATGGAGTAATTGGTGAAGCTACTGCAGTGTCAAAGGAAGAGTCCAGATTGCAAGAGATGAAAGAGTGAGTGGGTGGTGAGGATAGTGGCACAGACCGCAGTTTGGAGAGTGTGCCTGTGAAATCCCATACCTTCACACCATGGTGCTCTGCCATGTGCGAATGCTTGCAGACATGTGGAGGCTGGGAGGACAGGGACGGAATAGCAAGAAGGTGGGAGGTGGGAGCGACTAATTAGTGAGAACAGTCAGCCCTTGGGACATGAAAGGCATTTCAAGCTGACCCACTAAGAAGCTCTGTCTGTGACTCAGCCGGCTGACTCCCTCTTTTCCTGTCATGTTTTAATTTTCTGTCTTTTCTTTAGTTTCTCAGGGTGGTAGAGTTGGACAGGTCTGAATTTGAGTGTTGGCCTGACTCTTCCTAGACATGTTTTTAAAGTTTCCTTGAGCCCTGCCTGGTTCTCTTCTGTCAATTGAAGATCAGCATATCTCCCCAAAAGCTATAGCCCTCACTGATCACCATCTTTCTGTCTTCTGGCCCTCAGCGGTTTCCATCTCCCTCTTACCTTAGTCCCTTCACATGATAACAATTTAAGAAAAAACAAAACATTTTTAGTTTTTTTTTTTTGGAGAGGTTTTCACTATAGGGCTCTTGCGCTCGCCAGACACAGAGAGAGAGAGAGACAGAGAAACAGAAAGTGAGAAATCATCCACCAGGGGGGATGGCCAAGCCACAATCCCCTGTCCTCCATCCTCCTCTCAGGATCTTGGGCACGCATGCACATGCGCCTGGCGTGAGTTTTAAGCCACTGGGTCTGGGACATGAACCGTGGTCGACTACGTGAGAGTCCAGTGACATAGCCATTACGCTAACTGCTGGTCCAAAACATTTTTAGTTTTAAGAATTTATTTATTTCAGGCTGCCCAGTGGCATGGTGGTTAAAGTGGTTGGATCCAACATGGCTGATGGAACAGTTCAAGTCCCCAGCCTGGTGGCTTAAAAACACACCAGACAAGTGTGTGTGCATGCCCAAAATCCCTAGAGGAGAATGGAGAAGAAAGGATTGCAGCATGGCCATCCCCATGGGGCAAGGGTGCTTTCATACTTTCTATCTCTCTTTCTCTCCAGTGAAAACACACACCTTATAGAAATAAGTAAATAAATGAGAAAAAAAATGTTTCTTCTGTGAGCAAGAAAGAGAGGGAGCACCCCCAATAAAGTCTTGCTATGACCACCCACTCCTAGCCCCAGGCAGCTCCACACCACAGGCACACACATATCTGGGGTACTTTGGAGATCGCCGGACATGAACAGAGAAATATCCACCCCCAAAAGTATTTTAAAGCAGGGCCGGCAAGTGGCGTGGTGGTTAAAGGCGCTGGACTCCCACATGGCCGACCACAGTTCAAGTCTCAGACCTGGTGGCTTGCTTTCTCACTTCCTTTCTCTCTATCTCTCTGTCTCTCTCTGATCAAACTGAAAAATAATAATGATATAATAATAAATAAAGTTAAATAAAATAATTCTTTAAAAAAAGTATTTTAAAGCACATTCTGTTGTATCTTATCATTTATTAGAATTTGAGTTGGTTCTTTATATTGTCTTTCCCACGAATATCTATATTTATAACCAATTGGAGGGTTTAAATATCAGTATAGGGATTTTGTGCTTTAATAGTTTAGTGATTCAGTGAGTGGTAAAATGAACAATGTGTAAGTTTGAAGTGACAGGAAGAGAAAATGTTGGGAAGATTCCTAGAACCAGTGAACATTTGTAGTAGGTGTCATAAGAAACTTTTAACATTCTTGAATGGCTTGTGAATTGGATGTGGGCGCTACATGGAACCTCCACAGCTTCAGGTGTGCTGTGGCAGGTGACTCCCCAGACTCCTGATTCAGTGGAACTCATTAACTTGACTCCATGTCTCCATGTCATTGTCAGGTCAGCACCAGTCCTGGCATCTCTGAAGTTCCCAGTTTCCAAGTAAAACGTGGGCTTATCCACACAACTCTGCACCTGTCATTTTGCCTATTTCCTCGGGAAAGCTAGGCCCAACCCTTTCTTTTCTTAACTGCCAGGACATGTTCTCAGTTGGCATAAGTCTTTGTGAACATTTATGTCAGTATTCAGATTCTCCATGGCCAGTGGCACTGGAAAATAGCAAAAGACACTTGAAATACCAAACTTATTTTTATCTCTTAAGCTCCTATATTGGCGGGAACCTAGTCATTATTTTTTTTTTTCTGGGTCTCATAACCACATGAAACATTTTGAAATTGGGGCCTAGAGGGACCAGCAGGTGGCATATAGTTAAGGCACTGCACTCCTATGTGGCCAATTGTGGTTCAGGTCCTGGACCCAGCAGCTTGAAACTCATGCTGGGCGCGTGTGCGTGCATACCTGAAATCTTGAGAGGAGATTGGAGGAGAAGCGATTAGGGCATGATCATCCCCCCTGGGAGATGATTTCTTACTTTCTCTCATACTCTGCCTGTCTCTGTCTCTTTGGCAAGTACAAACTCCCCCTAGCAAAAATCTCTATTTAAAAAAAATGGGGCCTAGAGTGCATTTTGTTTGTTCTCTCCTTCCCCTCAGCACACACCCTTTCCCCTTTCTTCCCCTTCCTACATTTTCCTTATTCACATTTGTTTTTTTACTTTTTGGGGGATGTCTAATTTCTTTTGGTCTCTTTGCTCTCCTAGTCTGTACTGTATATTTCCCTTCTTTTCAACTTTGAACTTAAGCCTTTAAAAACAGATTTCAAAGATAATGACTCCTTTATTTCCTAATACCATCCACGGATGTATTTCCCAGCCTGATCTTCTCGTGTTGTGTTTTTAAAAAGAGTTTCCTATCCAAGAGCCTGAAAAACTTAAGCAGTTGTAAGCTTTCAAATATCATTTTCAGGCCAACTTTGATCTTACATGCCAAGTTCATTGGTGGGGAAAAATTAAATATTTCCCATCTGCATCAATAACTAGTGTTCCAAAGGAAACTTCAAAGTTTTACTTGAGAGTTTAAGGAAGGGTAATTCCTTCCCTATCAAAGAGATAGGATGTTAGGAAAACCCAGAGCCCGTTTGTTTAGGACATATTCTAGTCTTGATTTTTCCCTGCCCCTTGCTTCCCCTCTAAATGTAAGCTCTTTGTCTTCTTCTTCTTCTTTTTTTTTTTTTTTTTTTTTTTTTTTTTTTTTTTTTTTTTTTTTTTTTTTTTTTTTTTTTTTTTTTTTTTTTTTTTTTTTTTTTTTTTTTTTTTGTTGGTCTTGCAAGAAATACTTTTACTACATTCTTTCAGATGACTGTTTTTGATTTAGAGGAGAAATCTGCACACAGTGGCTCAAATCTCCTTAGATATGGTGTTCATTCCTTCCAGCTTTTCATGTTTCAACTTTTACGGGGCCTGGCATACATCCACCACCAGCGCGTCCTTCACAGGGACTTGAAACCTCAGAACTTACTCATCAGTCACCTGGGAGAGCTCAAACTGGCTGATTTTGGTAAGTCGCCCCTTGACTCTCCTTCTGGGTTCTAAACAATGATGCTTTTGTGTGCACTTTTTTTAAAGCATTGAGTAGGTCTAGCCTTTGAAAACCGAAGGCCCAGAATATCAAACTACCTGACATATAGGAGTGTAAAACAAGAAATGAGGGGTGATCGGTAGCTTCTGAGGGGTCATAAGTCCCAGTATTCAGATGTCCACAACTTGGGCACTTAACTATCCCACTGTTCCCTTTAACAGAGAGATATTTGTATAGTAAACTATACGTTTCCCTAAATCAGAGTGGGTATACAAATTCTACCAGAATAGATCATGGTTATCCAGGATGGCAGGATTAAAGAGGTTACCCCCAGACTGTGGCGTGGACCCCTGCTGGAGTTGATGCTCTTTGTTCCTGCTCACCTGAGTATCTTTTACAGTGTGACTATACGGGTACCACATTCTTCCTCTGCATATCACTGTATCTGTCCATTTTGGCACTTACCACCATTCATAGCTATATTATTCACACACAAACACACACACACAACAAATACATACACATATGTGCGTGTGTGCACATGTAAGTATATATTTATGTGATGACTCTGTCCCCTCCGCTGACCTGTATTATGAGACAGCCTGGATCTGTTTTTGCTTATTGTTGTATCCTTGGTGCCTGTTACCATAGTAGATGCTCAATAAATATTTGTTGAAAAACTGGTGAGGTGAAGAACCACTCTTCTGTTTGACAAATGTCATATGGTGGTACTGTAGTTTCAGTACTTTATTTTGAAATAGCAGCTTTCTTCCTGGTGGGAGCATTTAAGAGACATTCATTCATCAATTCTTCACAACAGCAGGCTCATCTATTGAGGTTTGTCCCGAGTATAGATCATGTGATTCTATGCAATTAGCAGCTGACCAACAAAAGTACTCTTGTTTTTTCAAGAGGAGCTTTAAGGTCTTACTAAAATAACTGATATTGGTTAGCAGTCCCTAACCTTTATTAAACTTGGGGTTCTTGGGCTGCAAAAATGGAGGGTGATAATATTAGTCCTAAATTGAATTTAGTTGCTACTGCAGAGACCTAAAATTGAAGAGGTGTAATACACTAGAAGCTTCACTTTCTCTCATGTGACGGTTCTGACCTAAGAGTCAGAACCTATATGGTGGTCCCACGGTGTCTTTAGTTCAGGCTTCTCACATGTGGCTCCACCATGCCTAGTATATTCCCCCAAGTGCATATTTTAAAATGGCTCCCACCTCTTTCACAGCCCAGAGGAGGGAGGAAAGGGAAGCAGGATGCTCCACCTGTCCATTAAGAGCATCATCTGGAAGTTTACATGTCACCTCTGTTCATATGATGCAGACAAGACCCTACTCAGCTCACCACCCTGAGCAGCTAGGGAGGTTACATCTAGCAGTAAAATAGGCCAAAATTTAAGAATTTGCTTAATGAAGTGGCATACAAGAATTATTTATTAGAGTGTGTTTACTCAGCTAGTTAGATTCTCCCTGGCAGAGTGCATCACTTTGCCTCTCCAGGAAGGATCAGAACAATGAATTCCATACTTTTCCCTTTGGGCCAGGTCTTGCTCGAGCCAAGTCCATTCCCAGCCAGACATACTCTTCAGAAGTCGTGACTCTGTGGTACCGGCCTCCTGATGCTTTGCTGGGAGCTACTGAATATTCTTCAGAGCTCGACATATGGTAAGAGCTAGGGCCAAGAAAAAGAAGAAATGTGAGTCATCTTACCTGTGAGGACTGCTATATCATCCATCTTACACTTTTTTTCTTCAACTATAGTAGATCGCATGCAGGCACATGTGAGAGACAGGAGAGAGAGAGAAATGAGCACCTTCCCCAGGGTCTGGTCACACTACAATCCCCTTCCTCTAGCCTGCCAGCCCATCTGATCTTGGGCACTTGTGTGCATGCTGGTGTGTTTCAGGCTGATCAGGCTAGAGATTTAAATCGTGGTCACTCTGTAGGCTCTAGCTTCTCCTGATGAGTGCATTACTGCTATGCCATGGAGCTGGCCCTGTATTACATTTTAAATACTCATTCTAATAGCGACAATCACTATACATGGTGCTTTCAAATACACATCTCGTTTGATTTTTGCAATCATTCAGTTTTTATGGTTACAGAAACTGAGACCAGGTCAGCCCCGTAGTTAAGCAGGTAAGCTTCTGTGCATAGGGAGCTGAAATCCTGCATGGTTGACCGGTGTCTGAGGCCCAGCCCTGGTGGCTTGAAAAACACACCTGGTGCATATGCGTGTGCATGTGTGCATGTCCCAAGTCCTGATGGGATGAAGAAGTGGGGTAAAAAGGATTGTAGTATAATGATGCCCCATGGTGGGTGCTTTTTCTTTCTCTTTCTCTGGCAAGTGAACACGCCTCTTGGCAATAACATTTAAAACATTTTTTTAAGTTAAAAAAAAGTGAGACAGAGAGAGAGAGAAAGTCAGCTGGTGGCATGGTGGTTAAAGCAGCTGGATCCCACATGACTGTTTGCAGTTCAAGTCCTAGTCCCAGCAGTTTAAGAGACAGTACAAGCACATACGCATATGTGCCCAAAATCCTGAAAGGACAGTGAAGGAGAAGGGATTGCATTGTGGCCATCACCCCTCCCCCCACCCCCAGGGAGGGTGCTTTCTCACATTCCCTTTCTTGCCACCCCATGCCAATTCTTTTTCTAACTCATTGCTCTGGATTCTGCTCTCTTGAAAAAGTCTATATCTTTTCTGTGTCTGTGTTTCTGGTTTAAAAATGAGGGTAATACACTCTCCCAATCAGGCATCAAATGAAACGTAGTGCACGTGTAATGACTGGATATGGCGTAGACCCCACAGTCAAGGAGGCTCTCAGATTACCAGAGCCATAGTGTGGGTGGGATCCTCGCCATCCTAGAATCGCTGTGCACATCGTCTGGATCTTATTCCTGGAAGTATCCCCGTCACATGAGGGCCACAGTTTGGTGTGAGATGACTTAATGAGACATAGCCAGCTCCTCCAATACAATAAAACGTACAAGTTTATGGGGCCGGCAGGTGGTGTGGTGGTTAAGGTGGCTGGACTCCCACATAGCTGATCGCAGTTCAAGTCCCGGACCTGGCAACTTGCTTTCTCACTTTCCTTCTCTCTCTCTCTCTCTGGTCAACTTCAAAAAAATAAAATAAAATAATGACAATGAATACAATGAAATAAAAAATAATTCTTAAAAAATACAGGCTTCTTTTAACATCTTAGAAGGAAAGGTTTATATAAACACAAGTTCCTGTTTTAAAAAATCAATAATAGATTCTTTTTTAATTATACACTATACTAAAAAGCTCAACTAAGCTTTTGTATTTTCCAACGAATTGAAAAAGGTTGCAGAAAATTTTCTCCAGTGTATCGAGTCATTGATTTCTGATACCCAGTACCATTTCCAGAAATATCACTTGCTAGTCAAAACTCTCCTAAAACTGTCAGCTCACATGCACTGCACTGTCACTTCAAAGGCCTTTGGCAGGCTCTGGCTTGCTCAGTTCTTAATGATGGCTTCCTGGATACGTTTCACAGGCAGAGTGTAACTTTCACATATCAATTTTAAACTTTGTTTTATTATGGAATACTGAAAACATTCAAAAATATGTTTAACATGTATGTAGATAAGTGGTTCTCAACCAGGGCAATTTTGCCCCCTGGGGGATATTTGGCAATGTCTGGAGACAATTTTTGTTGTCATAGCTGGTTGGAAGGAGGTTGTCATTAACATCTAGTAGGTAAAGACCAGGGCTGTTGCTGAACATTCTGCAATGTGCAGGACAGCCTCCACGAAAAAGACTTACCCAGCCCCAAATGTCACTAGCGTGAGCATTGAGAAGGTTGATGTAGAGTAAGAAGCATGATAGGGTGAGCTCCATGAACCCACTACCCAGTGTCACAACTAGAACATAATAAACACTGTCACATCGACTGTGTCTCTGCTCCTCCACTGGAAGAGCTAGCTGAAGTTTTTTATGTCATCATTCCTGTCTCTATTTTTTTTTAAGAATTATTTATTTAATTTTATTTATTCATTCATTTTTTTTTTTTTTATTTGACACAGAGAGAGAGAGAGACTGGGTGGGGGTGGGAGGGTCAGAAAGCAAGCCATCAGGTCCGGGACTCAAACCATGCCATGTGGGCATGTCCAGCGCCTTAAGCCCCATGCCACTTGCTGGTTCCCCATCTCCCTTTTAAAAATAGGATTTTTAAATTTCATATATATCCTTAAAAATAGTATTTTAGTCTGTCCTGGTGGCGTAGTAGTAGCACAACACTGTATGATACTAAGGCCACTTGGGATAACCCTGAGTTTGCAGCCCAAGGTCTCCCTGTCCACTCAGAGCATACCCACATGTGCCTGTGATCCCAGCTGGCTCAGACTGGGGGACTTTTCAGTATGAGGACTCTCACAAGGATGTCCCTCTCTCTCTGTCGTGGATGAGATAAATATAAAGAACATGTTGTTTTGTCTTACCCTCTTTTGGGGTTCTATAAAAATGATATTAGAGTGTCAGTAGGTGATGTAGTGGTTAATGCACTTGACTCCCACTTGGTCGACCACGGTTTGAGTCCTGGACCCAACACCTTGAAAATCACATGTGCCTGTGTACCCAGAATCCCAACAGATAGAGAGGGCATTGCAGTGTGGCCATCCCCCATGGGATTGATTTCTTAGTGTCCCACTCTCTGTTTCTCTCCAACATGTGCATTCATCCTATGGTAAAACCTTAAAGACAAGAAATAAACAAACAAACAAAAATACAACCAGGCATGTGTGTGTGCTTGGAGAGGAGAATGGAAGAGAAGGGATAGTGGCATGGCCATCTCTCTGGGGGTAATTTCTCTCTTTCGCTCTCTGTCTTTCTCTGGTAAGTGCGCAAATCCTTATTGCAAAAATCTTTTTTTAAAAAACAGATGATATTGTATTGCCTTTCGTTTTCACTGATTGGCTTTTTTCCACTCATTGTGTTTCTAAGATTCACCCCATTGATCTATGTAGCTAACCTTTATTTCCTGTTGATGAGCATTTCAGTTTTTTAGGTTTTTTCTTGTTGTTGTTGTTGTTCTGTTTGTTTCTGCTATTTTGAACAAATGTGGTATTTATATTTAAGGTTTCTAGATACTTCACCTAGGGATAGACTTGCTGTGTCACAAGATGTGCAAATATTCAACTTTTTATAAAAAAGTGTCAAATTATGCTCCAAAGTGATTGTAACAGTTGATACAACATCCACATCTGTACCAACTTCATAATATTACATTTCTGAACTTATGCTGATCAAGCGAATGGAGTCACTAGAAGCTCGTTGTGATCTAAATGTGGATTTCCCTGAGTAATAATGAGGTTGGATATCTTTCTGAGGCTTATTTGCCATTTGTGTTTTCTCTTCTATGAAATTTGTTTCATGTGGTTTGTTCATTTTCTGTTGGTCTTTTGTCTCTCTCCATCTGCCTCCCTTCTCTCCCTCCCTTCTCTGTTGATTTATATGAGTTTTTCGTATATTCCAAATACTAATCTTTCATTAATTTTGTGTGTTGCAAGTAGTCTTTCCCTGTTTAGGGTTTATGTTTTCATATCTTTTTTTTTTTTTGGAAAGATTTTCACTATAGGGCACGTGCGCTTGCCAGACAGAGAGAGAGAGACATAGAGACAGAAAGTGAGAAATCACCCCCCCCAGGAGGGATGGTCACGCCGTAATCCCTTCTCCTCCATTCTCCTCTCGGGATCTTGGGCACTCAAGCACACGCGCCCGGCTTGAGTTTTAAGCCACCGGGTCCGGGATGCGAACCGCGGGTGACTATGTGGGAGTCCAGCGACATAGCCATTACGCCAACTGCTGGTTCCCTGTTTTCATATCTTGATGTTGCCTTTTTTTTTTTTTTTTGAGAGGTTTTTACTATAGGGCACATGTGCTCGCCAGACAGACAAAGAGACAGAAAGCGAGAAATCACCCCCCAGGGGGGATGGTCACGCCGTAATCCCTTCTCCTCCATTCTCCTCTTGGGATCTGGGGCACACATGCACATGCGCCCGGTGTGAGTTTTGAGCCACTAGGTCTGGGAAGCGAACCACAGTCGACTACGTGGGAGTCCAACGACATAGCCATTATGCTAACTGCTGGTCTCTTGATGCCTTTTTGAGCAAAGTTCTTAATTTCAATATCACTGACCTTATCTACTTTTTTCTTTTATGGTTATTTAGCCCTTTATTTTTCTTATTTTAAAAATCTTGGGCCAGCCAGTACCATGGTAGTTAAGGCAGCTAGATCTCACATGGCCAACTGCGCAATTCAAGTCTTAGACCTGACAGCTTGAAAAGCAGGCTGGGCTCCTGTGTTTGTGTGCCCAAAATCCCAAAAGGGGGGAGAAATGTAGGAGAAGGGATTGAGGCATGACTGTCCCCGTGTGGGAGTGTTTTCTCACTTTTTCTCTTTCTGTCTTTTTGTCTCTCACCAGCAAGAATAAGAGTCTTCTAGCAAAATTAAAAAAAAAAGAAAGAAAGAAAGAAAGAAAGAAAGAAAGAAAGAAAATCCTTCTTTCCCTGAGATCAGAATGATATTATCTAACACATTTTTAAAAATTGTTTTGTTTTGTTTTTAAGTTTAGTTTTTTGTTTGCTTGTTTTTTAGTTCTTGCTATAGAGCACATGTACTCACCAGAGGGGGGGTGGGG